AATCAGATGTGCACCGCTGATAATCTCTCGCCTGGCTTTTCAATGTTCCATAGTAACCCCACATTTGATCTCTTGACGTACTCACTCACCTTGACGCACCTCGCATCTCATTTTCATCAAAAACTTTTGTCACTTTCTTGGAATTGGAGGCGTATTCTCTCAAATTCATCGACATCTTGTTAAAATGTCCTTGCTTTCTTGGTACAGCTCTTTCAACTGCTCTTCGTCAGTTTGACACAATCATCAGATTATCAACGTACAAATTACTAAGAACTGCATCTTTCAGTTCTTCAGAAACTTCTTCTGTTTCTGTTTTGTGACGTATTGTTTGTAGAAAGCTAGGAGAGAAGGGGTGCACTTCACACATCACGGCCAAATCTTGGTAAACTTGAACATATCTCATCGGGCTGAATGTTCTCTGGTGTTGGTGGTCGTGACGGATCTTTGGCACTACAAAACCGTGCATTAGTCCTCGAGGATCTTCTCTTCTTCTCGTAGAAGTACTTGATGGAAGGCTTTTTCCACGTCGCTTATCATTAAAAATTCTTTGCTCCGTGTTCTGATCAACAGTCCAGGGCTTTCCGGAATTATTGCCGGTCCCGAAAAAAGACACTGATTCAGAGATAACTTTCCTTTCTCATGGCTAAGTAGCATCTCAGAACTACTCTGGAACTTGGCGTAGTTTTGACTCCATCTTGGTCATCACAACAAGGTAAGGGGGATCACGTAGGACCGTCCTTGGGGAGGTTCTCTTCTCACCTCTTCTACAGTTCTCCCACCTTTTCTTTGTTGTCTCGATTGATTCTGGTGATTACTTCCTTACAGACTCACCTGAGGTTTCTGCTTAAGTGAATCCCACAATATGTGAAGCCTTTTTAAAGCAACTCGAAAATTAGTCCCTAGTTCTCCTAGAACTCCTTCACGAAATGGTAGAGCCACAGCAACTCTTCCATCTTTCGATGTCTTCACATTTTTCTCAAAATGTTCGAATACATATTTATCGTCTTGGCTTTCCTCGAAGTCTGCATGGATGCCAATTTTTTCCATATTCCACGTTTCTACGGGATTCCGCTGTCGAGCTTGTGGTCTTCAGGTGTCTTTTCAACTTTTTGTGTGAGTACTTTTCTCGATTCTTCTCTTTTGACACCACATATGACATATCCAAATGTTGTCGGGACACATTGCAATCCACTTGGCAAGTCATATTTTCTTTTTTCAAACCTGAGCATTTTGAAGAACAAATCGATTCCAATCAGCAACTGGATCTCTTTCGATCTTTGTTCCACTTCACAATTTATTCCTTTTTTCACTAAGAATTTTTTGTCACTTCTTGACAGTTTCAAAGTTTCAACTGGTGCCATGATCTCGTCTTCGGTGAACAACAAACATTCCCTCGTTTTATTTTCATCGTCGATCAGTTCTGCTGAGACTTGTTCAGAGACGAGAGAATTTTTTAACCCCTGCTCCTGTAACAGTCATGTGAATGTTGTCTCTTATCACGGGTAGTTCGAGATCTTCGGCGATTTCTCTTTTAATGAATGAGTCTTCAGCTCCAGAATCCATTAACATGTCCAATGAGTACAATTTGCCCGTCTTCGGTTCCTTGATGATTGCCTTTGCCACCATCAGCAACCTCTCTGGGTCTTCGTATGACCGGATATTCATCCTTGCATTCCTTCTTGTCCACGGTGGTGGTTCTTTTATTCCACTTCCACCTTGTGACAATGCTTTAATTGTCTCAAAACAGGTAATTGCTGTGTGACCTGTTTTCTTGCAACAATAGCATTCGGGCTTCTCCGTGCAGTCTTTTGCTCTGTGTCCTTTCCGGGCACATTTTGCACAACGCCCTTTGCTTTCAAGAGCTTCTTGTCTTGCTTTGCTTGTCTTAAACTTCTTGCATTTGACGGCTTTGTGACTATTTTCTTCGCACAAGATGCACTTTGCCGTTTCTTTCTTTCTGAAATCCGGGTTAAAACCGCCTTCTCTACCTTTCTTATCTTGCGAGATCTTCTCGACGTTGATAGATGAATACCTTGACGAAGAATCCCATTCTTTCCAATTTAGCAACTTGGGCCGAAATATCATTGATTGCATTTCTTAGAGCAATAGTGTTTTCTTGGACAACTGACATCTTTTTCACTTTTTCCCAAATTCCTTTTATGATGATTTTTTCATTCCCATAGGTTCTCTTCAACATTTCTATTGCTTCTTGAAATGTCGATCCATTGGGAGCATATCTCTCAATTAAGCTTCTTGGTGTTCCCGTGGTGTACTTCTTGAGGGCATTCTGTTTGTAAACCAACGGTAGATCCGTGTCGATCACCATTGATTTGAAAACTGCAAACCATTGTGGCCACGACCCCGGATCTCCGTCATACGGATCGATCGGGATCTCTTTCAACGATTTCCTCACGAAATCACTAGTCTCTCTATCTCCATTTGTACTTGGTTCTTGATTTGGTGATTGTGTTTCTCTTGGCTGATTCTCAGATTTTCCGATTTTCTTCAACACTTCAGAAGTGCTGGATTTGACTTTAAATGATATGTCTGGGATTTCAATGTTTGGGAAGTGCTCGTTGGCTTTGACTTTGAAATCAATCCATGTTCTTTCTGCATTATAGAGAAATTCGTAGGCTTTGGCTGCCGCTCTGTCGAAATTTGCTCTTTTTGTTTCACTTTTCTCTATCAAATTAGTCCTGTAGCCTCTTTGGATCAAACGGTCAAAAATCAATTCGAGTTCACTAAGCTGTACGATTCCTCGTCTCAACTCAGCTAGGATCTCATCCACTTCTGTTTTTGCCAAATCCATGTATTTTTTTACCACATTCTCATCAGTCAACTCCACTTTTTCAATTTTTTTCTTTGTTTTTTCATTGAGGTGTTGACTAATTTGATCTAGTATGGAAAAGCTTCAAACACTGTCTCTTGGATTTCAGCCGACGTTGACATTTTAAAACACAATGGTCGACAATCTCTTCTTGAGAGAAGAAAGCCCTTGATTGGACCAAAAGAAAAAAAAAAAGGAAGACTCAAAAGGTTAAACCAGTTAAACTGACCTGAAAGTCCTTGTTTGGACTGCGCACCAAATGTAGTGATTATTGTTGGTTTAGATATAATCTTTATTACAGCAATAATAGTTGGTTCAGTGGTTTGGTATTGGGAGAGTAGAGACTCCAAGGCACACACCTCGGCAGCTCGTTCACATTGCTTTTATACGGAACTCGGGCGTTCGTCTCGTCTTCCACACAATGGAGTTGAACGGGATAACGACGCATATTAAATCTCGCACAATAGGCGTTCATCCACATAGGTGTCTAGCTGGCCATTTCCATACGTGGCACTCTAGATCACGAGATCGTCACGACAATCTTCTTGACTAGCAAAACTTTGGGGTTGCATAAGTAAACAAGTAGGTTAAAGCTCATCTTTATACCAGTTTCAGGCTTCATGTCATTTCAGAATCCGGATCAATTTCTCGTGTAATCAACTGCTTTAAGATGCCTAAACGCATTTTAACGTTATATAGGCAAAATCAATTGGTGTTCAACCTTCAACTGATCAACACTACAATCTCAGCACTCAATACTTATCAACTTATCAAAACCTAAATCTCTCTTTGATAAATTTTATCATGTTTAGGTTCCCTTTATCTGAAAAAGCACCGAGCATAACACCACCGAGAGCAATGTCGACATCGTTCGCTCGGATCGACCGAATCGACAAAAGCGATGTTTCGTGCACGATTTTGTAAGTTCTAAGCACAAAGCTTTTTGCCTTTTGCCCACAAAGCCTTTTGATCTAATAACATCAAAATCTTTAGATCTTTAGATCAACATCAAAAGTTATCAGGTTTTAAAACAGCTTTCCAATTTTGTATCATCCGCTAGCAAGGTTTTGTTCCTTTTTGTAACATCTAGTTCTAAAAAGCTAGAAGACTAGAACGAATCATCAGCTAACAAGATTCTGTTAGCTCTGATCCAAATGGAAGACTTTTAAACCGATTTCATCAAAGATATGACTCTTAAGCCGAATACACCCTTTGTCTACGAATCATAGACAATATTCAGTACCAAACGATCAATTGAGATTTCGATCTGTAGGAAATTACATTACGAAAATGTCACGACAGAAAGAAAATTTGGGGGTAGTAAATAATATCTATCCGTTTTTATAACCATTTGACAATTCTTTCAAAACAACGCTCACAAGAGAGCCCTTTACCAAATGACAAATTTAGATACTAAAATTTCAAAAAAAAAAAGTTCTCAGTAACTCAATATTTGTGTAATACTTTGCAGTCCTTTTCCGATGTACATCCGCAAAAGGCTAAGTGGGAAACAGATGTCAGTAATGTGAGTACATGGAATAAACTGTAAGTAAAACCGATATATATTTCTAGATGTAAATACTTGTCAAATCACAGGGGAATCCGTGTAAGAATGGTGCCGCGTGTGTGATGCTTTACAGTGGGAAACAGGTGTAAGTTTTTAAAGTACTGTAGCTGAGTATTGTAACTGGGTTGCTGTAGTCGGAGTACTGTAACTCAACTCATCTTTCAATATTTTTAACTACTGTAGGGCTGAAACTTTCAGCTACTGTAATTGTACAGCCGGCTGGCAAGGGCAACCAATTGTGATGTGGCAAACGTTGACCTCGTAAGTTCCACCTTGTGGGGTGTACTTTGTGTCCAAAAGCTTGCAAACGCACCTTTCTGCCTGGCACATTTCAATGAAGAACTTTCAACCACTCTTTCAGCAAACGACAAATACATGAATTGCACAAAATCGACTGGTCAAAGGAAAGCTCAGTTCGAACAATTGCACGAAAGTGACGAACAGCAACTATCCATCGCTTTCATTGTGAGAAAAGTTTTGGGTAAACAATTGAATTTAAATTTCAGATGTCGGGGGAAGTCAATTTCAAAACGAAGTTGCTCTCCACGGGCAATCGTTGGGCAGCCTATTTCTTGTGGGTTAAACTTAGCAAAGGAACCAACTTTTTGGAAACTTACATCAAATCAGTTCCAAACTTGGAGATACTGTAGTGCCCTAGTTTTCTTTTTCACTACAGTATGACCACATTAGCATTAAAGGGTAATTTCTATTATGACAATAGTCTACAGGCACTACTGGTACTGGTAGACTGTATACTATAAAGTCTAAAAGTACTGTAGACTCCTAGTTTCTTAAACTGAACTTAGATGAGAACTTAATGGGAACTTAATGAGAATCTAATGGAAACTTAATGGGAACCTAAGGGAAACTTAATGGAAACTCAATGGGAACTTAATGGGAATTAAATGGAAACTTGATGGGAACTTAAGGGAACTTAATGGGAACTTAATGGGACCTAGAAGGAAATTAACGGGAACTTAATGGAAACTAATGGAAACTTAATGGAAACTCAATGAGAACTTAATGGGAACTTAACGGGAACTTTTAATGGGAATTTAATGGAAACTTGATGGGTATTTAGCTGTCAAAAGTAAGAATAGTCAAAGGTTTGTTAGATGTATTTAGTTATCAAAATATTATATTTCGCTCACCGATCCGGACATTGTCTCCATATTGAAGAGAAGAGCATAATTGACGAGTGAGGCGGAGAAGCTGAAAAGGACATTTGGTCAACAAAGTTAGGAGTTTTGTAGAAAAGTTTAGTAAATTGATATTGTCTTACATTTTAAAACTATAAGTTTAGTTGAAGTTAAATTCCCAGAAATCACTTTAAACTTTGAATCAAGAGAAGAAGAGGGCCTTGAAAAAAAGAAAGTTTATCTAAGAAAATTAGAATAAGCTCTCAACTTTTGATCTTTGATCTTGAATTAAAACAAAAAAATCTGAAATTCGTTCTTAAATTTGATTTTTTTACCAAGGAAAAAAAGGAGTAAAGCGTTTAAAATTCTAAGCAAACAAGTCAATTTGAGAAAATTTCAGGACAATAAGCAATCAATTAGGCGCCAGGAGTCGGGTGCATTTTGGAAGAGAAAATGAATGAGAGAAATGGAAAAGGAAAAGACAAAGGACAGAGGGAAAGGATCGATGAGAATGCACTCATATCAAAAAAAAGAGAGAAAGGTGGGATTGGGAAAAGAATGGCGAAAAAAGAACAGATTGGGGTCATCATCCGTGCCTTTCCCCCCGCCCTCCCCTTTTGCACCCCAGCTTGCACCCAGCCGTGCACTCGCCGTGAACTCTGCAAGTACCCCCGGTGCAGCCATCAAAATTTACCCTTGATGTACTCAGATAATTGAGTGGTTCTTGGGGCTCACTGGTCTTGAGGCTTTTATTAGTTGATTTCAAAAAGGAGAAATCGAATTGGCGCTAGGTTGGTAGGTATTGGTACAATGAAAATTTACACCTATCCTTGCTTGACATGAAATTAACAGATATCTAATGATAAAATGCACTTTGTGAAAAAAGGATTTCCAAATTTCGGAGGAGCAAACCTCTTTTACTTCCTTTGGACACCAAAACAGTAAAGCTAGAGATTGGTGCAACTGCAAAAGTGAAATGAAGACTTAAAATTGTCAATTTTTGCACTCTGATATAATAAAGAAGTGAAGCAATTGGCAAGGAAAATAGATTTCCGGTGATGGGACTGAACCTTCGACCTTTTGTTTTCCGGACAATTGTTCTAACCACTGAGCTATTCGGTACCTTAACTTGCCAAGAGAAAGAGGGCAAGACAAGGAGGAAGAAGAAAGAAAGAAAGTAGGAAATACCCGGATCTTTAGTCTATTTTCTGAAACAATTGTATGTTATTTCTAGACAAATATAACTAGCTCAACTTGTCTTACATTCTCTCTGCAAAAAATTTAAACACCAACTGTTGTATCAAGTTGAAGAACAGAAAAAGTACTAGAAGAAATCATTGAAAAAAAAATTCAATTGAGAAATCGGTGAACTCGATGTATTGGGTTCATGGTTGGTTCCAAGTGCACTGAAAGAAAAGAAAGGGGAAATGGATGGGGATGCACCCTGAATGCACCCATTTGCTCCCTCTTTTCCCTTTCCTTTCTTCACTTATTTTCTCTTTCAAAGAGTCGATGTTGGGGGCACAACGCACCCTGGCTGCACTCGGTGCTCTCATTCTTT